TCTCACAAGCTTTGAGATAATTTGTCAGTTTAAAACTCTGACAATATCAGTACATTTTTAACCGACTTCGAAAAGTAGGAGTTTACTCAATTCGACATGTATAATTTTTTTTTTTTTTTTAATGTCTGTTCACCAATTACGCCGAGATGGCTTGATGAATCGGAGTGAAACCTCTTGCATCTTGTCGAATATTTCTTCCAGTTGGTCGCGTAAAAGAAACATTTTGTGATTTGTCATTTTTTATCCGTTTTTTTTTTTAACAGAAACATTTTGTCTTGCTTCTTACTCCGAGACGGAGGGACCAATCAGATTGAAACTTCTTGCATCTGAAAGAGCATTTGCCATTTGATCCAATAGCAAAACATTTGTCCTTGTCTTATTTTTTACCACTTTATATCACTTTTTATCGCAAAAAGCGTCCTACACTAGCCGTAAAAAAAAAACAGGACACTATTTTAAAACGTCAAAACTCCAAGAGTTTTTAACCGATCTTCGGGAAACTTCGTAAGGTTTAGTTTTGAAGTGTCCTTTGGGTGTGTGCAAAGTTGCATTGACTGGGGTTGATGATAAAGGGTTAATTCACCCCTCCCCCCTAAAGGGGTGATGCAGAAAAACGGCACTTCAGAAGGGTCCAGGGGCGACAGAAGGTGATGAAAAAATAAAAAAAACCTTTGAGACGACTCTGTTTGATGCCCCCTACAAAATGCACCCCTTGAAATCGCTCTCGGACAAACCCACCCCCCACAACCCCCCACCCTCTCTAAAATCCACAATTTTTGGATGACGGTCTCGATTTTGGACTCAATGCATTTTCTGAACTCCCCTGATCCACAAAATACCATCACCCATACCGTGCACCCCATAGGCACTCTTGAGGGGGGGGGGGGTGGAACAGCTCGCAAATTTTCAACCCCCTTCGTAACAGAGCACTTCCACACACCGGAGGGCGATGAAATTCACCATGTTTGTTCTCGATACGTTAAGGATGAATGCCGAAAAGGTTCTGTTTCGAAAACTGCCCCCAGAGCTGAAGAGAGGGGGGCAGAGGTACGGGTGGTCACCCCCAAGTGTAAGGGTTCGAACGTTGTTTCGTTGCGTGGATCACATGTCCAACAGTCCAGGGCATCGGTGTGACACAGTTTTCATGTCTTTTTCCCGCGTGAATGGAAATAAAATTCGAAAATGTCGATTTTTTTAAAAACTCGGTTCCAACTTCAGGCCCATCTGCAGAGTGAACGAGTAACCCCACGTCAACACCGTTCGCGGATTCGGACGCGCGAATGCTTTATTAACAGATCCCCAAAAAATCAGATTTTTTTAATCCCGCTTTCGTTGTCAAATCGGAGTAGATTTGAAAGAGTAGTAAATGGGCCGGACGGAAACGGCATTCAAAAGTGGTGCGAGACCCTCCGCTTCTGAATGCTGGCCCACTTACTACTCTTTCAAATCTACTCCGAGGTGATAGCATTTTATGGATCAAGGGAGTCCAGAGAATGCATTGAGCTCAAAATTGAGACTGTCGTCCAAAAATTGTGGATTTTAGGGGGGGTGGGGTGTTGTGAAGAGTGGGTTTTTCCGAGAGCGATGACAAGGGGTGCATTTTGTAGGGGCCATCAAACAGAGTCGCCCCAAAGGTTTTTTTGATTTTTTCACCACCTTCCGTCGCCCCTGGACTCTTCTGAAGTGCCGTTTTTCTGCATCACCCCTTTAGGGGGGAGGGGTGAATTAACCCTTTATCATCAACCCTTTATCATTTTTGGGTCATCCTGTATATTGCTCATAACTGTTGTTATTGCATGAAACCTATTGGTTATAGATTGCCACTAAAAAGAGTAAAATAAAATAATTTATTGGAAAAAGTTTAACCGACTTCAAAAAAGGTACAGTGAAAAGTATGAAATAATGTCTAGTTAATTTATATGAATACGCACTAGCTCTAGATATAATTGCTTAAAAGTATGGGAAAATGCAGTGAAAAGTGTGAAATAATTTCTATTTAAACTGCATTGTTATTCACCATCGTTTGACGAATTTGGTTAAATTATTAAATACATCATATTAAATGCAATGCACCTTTTTCGGAGGCGGCGCAAAATTTAGAATTAAGTATATTAAAAATTGCTAAACTTGGTCTAACTTTCTCTCTTAGAAACAAAAAATATGGTCTTTATTTATTGGTATCATTACATCCAGTTTGACATCATATTCATTAACACTATTTAATATCGCCGACCCCACCAAATACTATCCCAAACCTATTCATACAGTATTTCCATGTGGAGAGTTTATACATTAGCAATAATCAATATGGCCGCCACTCGCCTCCAAAAAAGCCCCAAATCTACTCACACTATATTTCCGTATACATACTATATACATTAACTATTAATTCCTCATAGACAATAAACATGTATACATTGACAGCATTCAATATTGCCGCCTCTACCAAAAGCTAACCCAAACCGGAATTAAAAAATTTTTACATCTGCGCCGCCTTCGAAAAAGGTGCATTGCATTTAAGGGTACACAGGACCCAGAGCCAAACTCCGAGTTGACTTCAGCGACAGTTGCAGAAAAAGTAGGAAACTCTGGGACAAGGACAGAGAGAGCGATACAACAATTGCAGGAGAGACGAGGACAGGACAATTAGGCTAGCATGATTCTTGTCAAGGATTTTGAAGCAAAAAAGCAATATTTTCTAATATGTCTGGTTTCAAAATATTCCTTATACCTTGGCGCATGCCACTGTAAGGCCCGATTTTGGAAAAGGTGTTTGTAAACAAATTTATTCTATAAGAAAAAAAGAAACCATACTTTTATTATTTATAAAGTTTCAAGACCGAAATTGCAAAATCGGGCGTTAGAGTGGCATGCGGAGTGATGTAGAGAATATTTTAGAAAAAGAATCGTGAGAAAATATTGCTTCTTCGCTTCAAAAAACTTGATGAGCTTCGTTGCTGTGAAATCTTGATGATTTGAATGGCAATATGGCTGCCTCGCTGTCGCGCTTTCCGTTGTGGCGCTGTCGTCGTCTGTTCTGTTGTTACTATATCGTCAGTCTAAACACGCTTTTCCACGTGGTTTAGACCAGGGAAGGCCAACTGTTTTTGCCCCCGGACCGAATTGGAAAAAAAATATTTTCACTGGCTGGATGAAATATTAAAATTGAAAAATGTGAAGAAAAACATTTATTTCTTTATGTAAACAAAATATTATTATGAAATTTGTTTATGAATAATTGTTAGTTAAACAATACAACATTTATTTCTAATCGAAATGAATTAAATTAACGTTTCCTATACAAATAGGAGAATGATACAAAAACAGAGTAAAATTGGAATTTTTGTACCTTTACTCAATTGTTCCTAACTACGGTATTTATCCATAGATTTTATTCGACAAAAGCTTGCTTTCTTCGTAAAAGTGCGATCTATGCGTAAACAATAAGAAACTAAACATAATTTGACAGTTACTAATTTTGCATGACGATGGAAGAAATTGTTGTGTTCTAATTTAGCCGAAGAAATTGAAGGTTTCTCATATGTGTTGGCCCGTCACACTTGAACTATTGAACCGATTGGAAAACAATGTCAAACGCACTTGTTGCAAATTCGATTACCTTTGATATGGCAACTTGCGCGACTCAATCGGACGTTTCTAATACGATATATGGCCTAAAATGTGAAAGTATCTCAAAAATAATCGAAAAAAAATTCAAAAATTTGTATTAAGAAAACCTATCCATAGAAAAGTTTTGAACGGTGTTTTGCCGCTGCACAGCCATTGCTCGCTATGTTTCGGTCAGTCAAGGCCATCGCTACGGGATTCGCCTAATCGGCGCCACGCGCTATCAGTTTTTGTATTACATTTACATGTTCCAGATAAGTAATTCTTCATTTTTAATATTTCATTTATACTGGAACTCAATAAAACGGAGACAATTTTCCACTGTTTAATTTTAATCATTAATTTCCTGTTTTTGTATCTTCAATTATTCGACTTTTGTTAATTTGGTATTGAGTAAACTTTATTTAAATCTTACTTGAATTATTTAACAATTAATTCAATCTATAATTGCATATTGTGTTGTTAATTTTAAATGAAAACTGCTACCTGAAAAATTTCTCTTTAGAGCAGAGTTTAGCCCCTAAACACTAACTTAAATAAAAAAAGATTAAAGCGCGTGGCGACAATTGTGCAGAACGCATGACGACGGCCCTGATTCACCGATATAAAACGAGCGAAACCTGCGCGCCGGCAAACAGATTTCGTGCGTTCTAAATTAATATTTTCTGGATCTGTACGAACTAGAAAACGTTACAACATTCGCGGCGGGTGGTTTTCTCTTCACAAATGTTTGCAGAAACCTATAATGCATAGTAAATTCGACCTAGGTGAATAACTTTTCATTAAAATACAAAAGTATTTCGTGAAAAGTACTCGCGTTGGCAACTTTTTGAACTTCGGCGTTCATTTACAGGCATTCAAAAGAGCAGATAATTCTGAAGGAATATGTCTTCAGATTTGTATTTAGGACGAGGAACCTTATTAGAATCACCTAGTGGATATCGCGGAATTTAAAAAAAGTTTAAATTTGTTGGACAGTGTAATCTGTATACTAAGGGAGCCGCAGGTCTATAAAGTTGGAGAACTTCTGGTCTAGGGTGTATATGAGAAACACAAATTAAGGTAATATACACTTGATAATATTACCCATATTTAATTTAATTTCTTTTTAAACTTTGCGTTATATAAATATATTTATTTACCGGCCCCTGTCGTCTCTCTTGTTGCGTTCTCGCGGGTGGTGGCCGCATTAGTAGTACATCTCTTGCCGCGGTCCTTCTGCGGCGTCTATTTTGCCGTTGCCGCCGCCGCCTGTTACTCTGAAATTAGTATGACGGAATATATTAATTTTAAGTACTAATAAAAAATTATTGACATAATTTTGGTTAACGATTATTTTTAAACGTACCACATTCTTGCGTTGCGGCTGCTCCATGTCCGCCGCGAAGGCTGGTGATGGCGGCGGGGCCTGTGGTATGCCCACGACAAATAGTGGGGGTGGCGGCGGGGGCTGCGGCATACCGAGCGTGAAATATGGCGGTGGTGGTGCCATTAGAAATGTCACTCCATACTGTTGTCAATATCTGGTACACTGGTTATCCCAGAAGGACAACCTATCAATGCCGTACGTAACTGTTGGAAAAAGAAATAAAAATTAATATAAAATCTTTACAATATTTTTCAATTACTATAAATAAGTAATCATACCTTCCTCCAGGCTGCTCATTCTGTAATAAAACGAAAAAGAACATTAGATTGTATACTATATAGATATTCAAACAAAGTTTCAATTATTTAATAACATACGCACGCGAAATGAGCACCGAATTTTTTAATCAGAATTTTTTCCTATGTAAAGAAGGATATATAGAACAATCTCTGAAAGTAGGAACGCGCAACTCTCTCTTGTTTTCGAGAAATAAATATTAAAAAATATCTAAATATCGATTGACAAGTGTCGACCGTACCCGTGTTGGGGATGTCATAGAAACATCGTGGCGCAGTCGGTGGAGTGTCAGGTTGCGAAGTGAATATTTTGCTCTGGACGCGGTTCGCTCCCGGTAGGAGACATTTATTATTTTACGTTTTGATATGGAAACTACCTTTCTATTGTATAAAGATTATTTTAATAAAATATCGTATAATTTTTATGTTTTTTATCGCATTGAAAAGGGAGTCAGGATGTGGAGAAGAGTTTCTACAAGCTTTTATAAACATTATTTACAGCGTAATCACCATTTGTCCTACTCTAAGAATAAAAATGTAAAATTTACACTGTGAATAATTTTTATAAAAGCTTGTAGAAACTCTTCCCCACATCCTGACTCCCTTTTAAATGCGATAAAAAACATACAAATTACACGATATTTTATTAAAATAATCTTTATACAATAGAAATGTAGTTTCCATATCAAAACGTAAAATAATAAGTGTCTCCTACCGGGATCGAACCGCGTCCAGGGCAAAATATTCACTTCACAACTTGACACCCCAACCACATTTAAACATTTATTTTTCGAAAACGGGAAAGAGTTGCGCGTTCCAACTTTCACAGATTGTTCTACATACGTTTCTATACACAGGAAAAACTTATGATTACAGAATTCGGTGCACACTTCGCGATGTCTTGTCAGTATTCTTAAATAATTACCTTCAATATTCAATGTCACTCTGCTAAACTGTTCACGATTTGACGTTTTCAACAGAAGTGACGTACGATCCTGACGGCGTTCGCGACGACACCTCCGGGTCCCCTTTGGCCAGCCCCCTTGAAGCCTGGGTGGGGGGCATGCCTGCGTTTGGGGGTCCTCGAAGACTTGTCGATGCCCCGAAATTTTCTTTACGATCGAAGGAACCGTTACTTGTAATACTTCTAAACTGATTATTCATTAAATAATTTTGTACTAATTTTCTACGATGAGAACTACACACAACTTTATACAACTTCACACCACATACGATTGTGGGTATTTCTGCTTAAGGGGTTAGTCGCAGTCAGGAAGAGGAAAAACGACATTTCTTTGTGATTTTTTTTAGTTATTAAATAATAATTTGCATAAGTAGCAATTAAGTATATTACAAAGCATATTTTAGAGAACTAAAAAACATTTTTTGTTTTAAGAAACGTTTAATTTATATCGTCATAACAGCCGATGACGTAGACGATGATTTAAAAACGTAGGTTTGCGGTGAGCAAGATTTCTCTACACTGATTTACCTGAAAACAAAAACAAAGGTAGATTTCAAAAATAGATTAGTCTAGCGGGTCCCTGAACAAAGGATTTTGGAAAAAATTAATTTAAAACAAGATGGCCTACATTTGAAGTTGATTTTCAATTTTTTCACTAAAATTAAGCGATTCAATACAGGATAAGAAAAAGTATAGAAGAAAATAAAAAATCCTTCGTTCAGGGACCCGTTAGTCTAATATATTTTCTAAATCTAACTTTAGTTTTGTTTTCAGGTGCGCCAGTTTGAAGAAATCTTGCTCACCGCAAAGCAAGTGGCCACCCACGCCATCGCCTGTTATGACGAAATGAATTAACCTTTTCTTAAAACAAAAATTGTTTTATAATTCTTTAAGACATACTTTGTAATATATGTACACATCATTAATAAAAATTATTATTTAATACCTTAAAAAAAAACACACAAGAAACTGTCCGTTTCCATTTTCCTGACTGCGACTAACCCCTTAAACTTCAAACAGCCTAGATAAAACTTTTCATTCATTATTTTCCAAACGAATTTTCCAGCATCATCGTTTGTCCCGATACAGGCACGAGATACGTCACAAAAACAACTTTCCTCCAATCGTCAACAATACAACTAGGCCAATCGGTAGAGAATTAAAACAGCGTTTTGGTGACAAAAGTACTAATAAAAGGTATGCGTAGATGAATAGGTATATGTTTTTCACTCTCAACTCTGTTCCGTTTTCTTCTTATAAACAATTTAATCCAAGAAAATCTTGATTTTTGTCGTTTTTTGCGTATAAATTTTAAAGTAATGCAGCAATATCAATCCTCGAAGCAGATGAAATGTAGATGATGAAAATACCTACAGAATGAGACGTCGAATGTTTCGATCGGATAATGAGAAACGGAGAAAAATTGGGAAAACCGGAGAATTCAACGTATACAGTAATGTATATGTATATAAGTAGTAATAACGTAGCGTAGCGCGTGCCTATTACTATACTATATATGCCATTCTCCTCGGCTGCCGCTGTGTCCTCCACCGTTCGAACGCGATGGAACGCAAAAGAGTGCTCTTCGTAGAAAAAAATAGAAGAAATAAAACTATTGAACAGATCCACCAGAATACCTCGTGCACCTTTCAAGTCCTTATATCAATCACATTTTTTATATCATGATTATAACTTCTTGCACACGCCTTTTTACAAGAGCTGGGAGTTTTATCCTGTTTCAAAGTTCATTGAAATCAGTGATGGGCAAAACCCTAAGCTTCGAGTAAATCTGAAGTTTGCCGACATGTTTGTCTCGTTTCCTCTTTTGAACATTTTCCAAAGAAAAAAACGAGACAAACACATTGGCAAACTTCAGGATTATTCGAAGCCTAGGGTTTTGCCCATCCCTGATTGAAATACGTTCAAATATCAACATTGAAGACTACAACATATTCGTCAAAATCTGAGATGCTACTCCAAAAAATGTCCGATTTCCCTCGCAATAACGCTACATACCCTAAATACCCTTTGTACCTGGGTGCAGTTATTCATCGATGAACTCAAAAAAAGAAGGAATTATTGGTTCTAAACAGGCCGATTTATTAGCGTATAACATGCCAGCCTACGGCGCGTTTGTGTACTTGCGTGCAATAAACCGAATTTGGGGATATTAGTTATTAAGTTATTGTCTTCTGCAGAGGTTTGTCAATTCTAAGAGACCATCTGGAACACGACTTTATGATACCCTGGCTGAAATTAAAGTAGACAATTGCTTATTTCTAAACGAAAAGGTGTTTCTTTTCGATTACACGTCGTCCAACTAACTCTCGTCCTCTCCTTGCGCTCGTTTACATATTATCTCACACATACTTCCTTCTCACTCGTTCCTTTCTCACAAAAAAAATGAAAAATATAAAGAATAAAGGAAATATATTACACCCTAACGCTAAAAGCACAGTTACAGATTTCTGATTGCGTATTGTTTGTTTTGTCTTACTATGTGACTGTGCACCGTGTATAAAATATTGTAAAGGCGAAACGGCTAGTCGTAGTCGCGTAGACTGCTAAAACTGTTGTCCAAAGAACTCCAAACGACTAAATGACTTTACTATTCTGAAGGGTGAAATTACGCGCTGTAAAAACCGTAACTGAAGTTCGAAAGAAAGTTAATCGCGAAAATAAGTTGATTGGTACGTCCATGTCATAAACGATCCGTCGAGGATTTCTACCGTTCCGCATCGGACAGAACATACACATACCAAACACGATATAATATCGATTAATTTAAGATTTTTCTGCTGCGTAACAGCGTGATATGTAGAATTTATATTACACGAATAATTAAAATTAATCGATATTATATAGTGTTTGGTACCATTTTCATCAGTATAACATCAGGAATTCAGTAGTGCAATTTGTTTCTTTAACTTTTATAAAATACAACAAAAAATGAACATATCATGACAAACATTTCACACTTTATTGCTCGGACCCTTTGAGGTCCGTCGCGTCGTGGGTTAAAATCGGCACACGTGCGCTTTGGATGGTTCAACCCTTGGTGTAATAATCTTTATACAATAGAAATGTAGTTTCCATATTAAAACGTAAAATAATAAGTGTCTCCCCGGTATAACCTGGGAGATTAAGAGACGGGGTGGTTCCCAATGTGCGTTTCTCCCGCAGTTCTGTGAACTGCGTTACCAAAAATTTATACATATGTCGTCGCGTCTAACTTATGAAAGAAGGGGGGAGGTGTCAGTCCCACGGTTATTTTCCGCACAAGATGGATGTGAAATTCCCATCAAGGAAAAACTCCTCCGACGCTTGATGACGATGGGTCGCACACGGTAATAGTCTCTTAACCCTTTTGCGCTTTTTTAGCCCGAACGCTCGTGCTGGGCGACTTCAACGCCAAGTCCACGGCGTGGGGTGGCCCAGCAACGGACGCGAGGGGTCGGGCAGTGCTGGAGTGGGGGGCGAGCGCGGACCTCCGGCTGCTTAACCGGGGGTCCGTGAGCACGTGCGTGCGGTGGCAGGGCGAGTCGATCGTCGACATGTCTTGGGCGACGCCTGCCGCCGCGCGTCTCGTGTCGGGATGGAGGGTAGCGGAGGAGGTGGAATCCCTCAGTGACCACCTCTACATCCTTATGAATGTCTCCGCTGCCCCTCAGTACCATCCCACTCGCGGACCCGCGCCGGCCGACCGCCGCGCAGATGGACGCTGAGGCGCTTGAAGAAGGACGCCCTGATGGCGACCGCCCTTGCCGCGTCATGACGGTGACGATCCTGTTGGGTCGTCTCCTGCCCAATCTTGGGGGGCCGGAAGAGAGGGTCCGCCGCCTCTACCTGGGGGTCGTGCGATCCATGGCCCTATACGGGTCACCCGTATGGCGCGCGACCTGGTAACCTGCCGTCGTGGACGGCACCTGCTGCGCCGCGTGCAGCGGCATATGGCCATCAGGATCGCGCGCGGGTATGGCACGACGTGTGTCGGCGTGTGCAAGATCTCCGCTGGAACGGGGGCGATCCGCAGGACGAGGCGGTCGAAGCCTACCGGCGCCAAAGGTGGCAGCTGGCCCGCGAAAAGTGGTGGCGCCAGCTCTTGGAGAGCGGCGCCGCCCGAAAGAGGACGATAGCGGCGGTCCTGCCGAGCTTCGATGCTTGGCTGGACCGCCGACACGGGCGACTCACCTACCGACTCACGCAGGTGCTCGCCGGACATGGTTGTTTCGGTGAGTACCTGCACAAGGTGGGGGCGGAGAGGTCACCCGCGTGCCACCAGTGCGGCGCGGAGCTGGACTCCGCGCAGCACTTGCTGGAGGAGTGCCTGGCCTTCTCGCGAGAGAGACGGGCACTCCGCCTAGCTATTGGAGGGGACCTCTCGCTCCCGGCCGTCGCTTCGGCCATGGTCGAGAGCGAGGGGTCCTGGAACGCGGTGTCCTCCTTCTGCGAGACTACTGTCTCGCGGAAGGAGGATGACGAGCGGGATCGGGAGCGCACCGATCCCGCTCGCATAGAGAGGAGGAGGTTGAGGTGGGCCAGGCGACGGCGGCTAGCTGCCGCCCCTGCCGCAGGGGGGACTGGTCCCCCCCCCCCATAAACCCTCACCTCCTCCTGGCAGTCTGCCGCGTAGAGCGGCCCTGCGCACGTAGCCGGCGAGCTCAAGCTTTGGGCTCGCCGACTGCCAGCAGAGCCGCCGGGCATGGGGGGGGGGGGGGTCGTCACCCGACCCATAGCGGCATATTTCCCTGTGGGTCGGGGAACAGAATACGCCCACAGTAATCCCTGCTTGTCGTAAGAGGCGACTGAAAGGGACAGACGAGACCGCGGGCTGTGGCACCCGCGGTCAGGTGGGGAGGTATTCACTCCCCACCGGAGATGGCACTCCTCTCTTCGTTGGGGGGGTAGGCGCGGGGAGGCACCGGTAGCGTTCGTAAGAGATATCGGTGCCCCTCCCCAATGCGCCGGCCACCGTGAGGTTTTAGTGGGTATTCCCCTTGATATCAAATCAAGGGGCGAGTCCCACATTACCCCCTCCTTATAATGGGGCGTGCGTAAACACATTTCCTCACATAAAAAAAAAAAAAAAAATGCTGTTATAACCTGAGTCCTACAAATCCCGTAATAGTCTTGCCCCTACCATTGACCTCTGTGTTTCTCAGAGTCTGTTTCTTTTTAACACAACACAAGAACATCGGGTGTCCCGGCTCTGGACAACTAGTTTCCATCGATCAGTCGCATCGTTCGGATGCAAAGAAAGTATTGTATTTTTGCAATGTGGACGCTTCTTGGATTAAAGTACGTGATTGTTAAGCGCGATGACACATTTTGGAAAGACAAAATGTTACCATCGTTACAGCGATTCTACGAGGACTGCTTGGTTCCCGAAATAATAGATAGTAGATTTGTTAGAAGCATGCCAATTCGGGAACCGCAGTACATCATTGAAGCGCAAGAAGCGGCCAAAAGCAGGAAAATTGTATCAAATAATTAATAGCTATGTAGAAATACGTAAAAAATTGGTAGTATTAATATTTATTTTGGTGGAGTTTTAGAGGGTATTCCTTTCCTTCTGAGGGGCGAGCCCCACACTACCCCCTCCGTTTGAGGGGGTGTGCGTAAATGCATTTCTCCATGTATAAAAAAAAAAAACAAAAAAAAGAAGGGGGAGGGAGAGAGGGAACATTATAATAAAAACGGAAATTTTGTCCAGCAAAAAAAACGACGAACATTTGAAGGTAAATATTGTTCACTTTCCTCTGCATCTAACGGTACTGTCCAGGAGAAACTGTTTTTTTTCAGCTCAAGAGGGATCCAGGTATTGTCACCGAATTCTTAACATCGGACAAGCGACAAGCGTCCAGGAACAAACCCCCGTACTCTCCCTTCTCCGAGCTGGCGTCTAACGATGAGACTCCTATAGATTATTAATTTTAAGTGTATGTTATACTTGTATTTGATTTTTACATTAAAATTATTTTGGAACATGGGGAATTGTTAAAAGATAACACGCTAAAATACATATGTATAAGAAATTGATGATAAAATGATTGTTACACAAAATGATCTAATATGCAAGAAAGAATTGACAAATATCAGGGAAGTATAAATTATTTATTGTATTACATATCGTTCTGCGCTTGCGTTGGTTCAGTGTATCATACTTGTCATTTTATAAAATAAAAATAATTTCAGGAAAGATTAGATTTTACATTTACTATTGTTATATTTGATTATTAATAACAGCATACATTTTCAAATTCGTAATAAATTGATATATTAAATATTAGTATTGTAATACGCGACAAAAAGTATGTATAAGAAAATCGAGTATGTAAAATTGGCAAGGAGCGATTCTCTTTCGTTTCCGAAAAATAAATATTAAAAAATATCTAAATTTTGATTGACGGGTGTCAATCGAACAAGTGTTAGAGAAGAGGTGTACTAGAAACAGCGTTCTAAACTACAAATTATAGCTAAAATTAGCAACCATACACTGGAACTTCAACATGAGCTTTTAATAACCAACAATGAAATAAATATATAGGAATTTTAACCTTATTTCTAATATAAAAAATACATTTGTATCAAAAAATATAATAATATAAAAAATAAATATTACTAAAGGTAAAGAAAAAAATAATGTGTAAAATATAAAATAATATCTCGATATTAATCATATAATTTCTAATCCTCGATAAACAATAATTATAAATGTCAAAATTAATGTTACTCTATAATAAAAATAAAAGTTAATTAAATTTAAAGATAGAAAAATTATCGGACTTCCGTTTCCGGTGACAGAGTGTGTGAGTCGTGTGAAAGGTGTAAGGAAGTTTGGGGGAAGGTAGTGTGGGTATAGTGTGGTGGTAGTGAGGCAGGAGGGTAGGGTCAGGGAGTAGTGGTGAAGGGCTTCTGGGGGAGGGTAGAAGATAATGAAGGGAGTGAAGAAAGGGAGAAAAATCGGTGTGAAGGCTGAGCACGTGTCGTCAGAGGTTAGGTAGCGTGATAGAAAAGTAGAGCGACGATAGCGACGCAGCGCGGAGATAGTAGGAAGGACATAGGGAGCGCGGGGATTGCAAATTAGAGGATAGTAGAAGAGGAGAAAAGGAAAGTGGAGGATAGTAGGATAGTGAGGAAACTGCGTCGAGAGGATAATGGAGGGCGAAGATGAGTGTGGAGGCGGGATAGGGATAATGGAGCGAAAGGGGAGCAAGGTGGAGGAGGTGAAAAGGAGAGGAAGACTGACGAAGGCAGAGGTTTGGGGTAGGGAAAGGACGGGGAGTCTAGGGAATATAGAGGATTTGCTTAACAGAGGAAAGAGGAAGGAGAAGGGAGGGAGGAAAGGAGGAAGTTGAGTAAGAAGGTGAGGGAGTTGGTAATAAGAATAGATAAAAAGGAGAGGGAAGGGAGAAGAAGGAATTTGATAATAAAAGGTGTGAAGGTGGAAGGGAAGGGGAAGGAAGAAGTGGTAGAAAAGATTTGGGGGAGGATAGGGGTGAAAGAGAAAGTAAAAGAAGTAAGATGGATAGGCAAAGTGGATAGAGAGGGGAGAGGCGGAAAGAGAGAGAAGAGAGGGAAAAAGGGTACAGATTGGGTACATGAAGATGTGGGTTAATAATGATTTGAGAAGATGGGATGAAGTAGAGGAAAAGTGGAGAGAGGAACAGGGAAACGGGCAGAGGGGGGTTCAGGGCAGGGAAGGGAAGACGAAAGAGGGATGGAAAGAAGTGTAAAAGGAGGATCAGGAGAGGAAAGCAGGATATATAAGGTGGCGTTTTGGAATGTGGCAGGATTGAAGAACAAAGAGAAGGACTTTTAAGAGGGAATCAAAGAATGGGATGTAGTGGTGATGTGTGAAACATGGGTGGGAAGAAGGGAGTGGGAGGGAATAAGAAATAAAGCGATGAAAGGATAGGTGTGGGAATTACAATATGCGGTAAGGAGAGGGAAGAAAGGACGGGCTATGGGGAGAATGCTTATAGGGGCAAGGGAAGGAATCAAAATGATGAGAGTGGAAAGGGAGGAGGAGGAGGAAGAGGGGATAATGGCTAGGAAATGGTTAGGGGAGGAGGTGTGGAATATGATAGGAGTATATGTGAATAAGGATTTACAGAAGAAGCTGGAGAGAATGAGGGAATGGATGGAAGAAAGGGAGAAGGGGGTAAGGGTAATAGTGGGTGGAGATTTAAACGCTAGGACGGGTACGCAAGGAGGATGGGGGTCAGAGGAGGGGGGAGAGGAAGAAGAGACAAGGAGGTCGAAGGACAAGAAGATAAATAGTGAGGGAAGGAGACTATGCCAATTTCTGGGAGAGCTAGGGTGGGGGATAATGAACGGAGATGTGACAGGGGATGAAGAGGGCGAATTCACGTATACAGGGAATGGAGAGTCAGTGACAGATTATGTGCTAGGAAATGAAGAAACGAGGGTAAGAACGGTAAGGTTGGTAGTAGAGGAGAAAGTGGAATCGGACCACCAACCAGTGGTGGTATGGATAGAGGGAGGAAAAGGGGAAGATGGGAAAAGATGGAGAAGGAGGGAAGAGGGGAGAGGGAAAAAGGGGTGGTGGACAGAAGACAGAAGGAAGGAATTTGGGGAAGGGTTTGTAGGGAAAGAAGGAAGGGAAAAAGAGGTAGAAGAGGTGTGGGGAGAATTAAGAAGGGAGGTATTACAGGTGTTAGAAAAGATGGAGAAGAAGTATAATAGGAAGGAAGGAAGAGATGCGTGGGATGAGGGATGGAAGAAGAAAAAGAATATAGCGGAAGAGGAATTGAAAAAATGGAAAAGGGAAAGAGGAAGTGGGGAAAGCTTTAGGAAGGCAGGAGGCGAGTTAGGTAAAATGAGTAGAGAGAAGAAGAGTAGAGAAGAAGAGAGGTGGGAGAAGGAGAAAGATTGTCAATAGGGGAAGAAAGCGGAGGAAAGGAGTGAGTACAGAAATAGAGATTGAGGCTTGGGACAAATATTTTAGAGGAGTGTTAGGAGGAGTAGGCTGGAGTGTAGAAGGAGAAGAGAGAGGAGTGAGGGGGAGGCTGAAGAGAAGGAAGTAAGTAGAGAGGAAGTTTTGGCGGTAGTAAAAAAGTTAAAAGAGGGGAAAGCAACAGGAGATGACGGAATCGCAAACGAAGTATGGAAGCATGGAGGGGAAGTAGTAAGGGAAAGATTATGGGAAATCTGTAACCGGGTGTGGAGAAGGGAAGGCTGGCCACAAGACTGGTCGGAAGGAGTAGTAGTGCCAGTGTTAAAGAAAGAAGATGGGACAAGAGTGGAGGAGTACAGAGGGGTGACGCTTACGCAGACGGCGTACAAGGTGTATGCGGGGTTGTTGGCGGAGAGGCTAAGGAAGGAGATAGAGGGAAGAGGGATTCTACCACCGAATCAGTCAGGATTCAGGAAGGGAGTGGGGACAATGGATAACATGTATGTATTCAAGTATCCAATGAACAGATAGCAAGGAAGGGGGGCAAGTTGGTAGTACTGTTTGTGGACTTGAAGGCAGCTTGTGATTCGGTAGATAGGAAGGTATTAGCAGAGTCGTTGAGGAAGGTGGGGGTGAGAGAAGGGTTGATGAGGAGGTGCGTGGAGATTTTGAAGGAGACCAGAAGTAAAGCGAGGGTAGAGGAGACAGGGGGGGAGAGTTTTTGGACGCAGAGAGGGGTGAGACAAGGATGTCCAGTAAGCCCAATGCTCTCTCTCTCTCTCTCTCTCTCGCTCTCTTGCTCGCAGGTGTGTAAGGTAGAGAAGGAAGACTTAATGTATGAGTAGTGTTAAGAGGAAGTAATGTAAGCGGAGCGGAGGTCCGCATGTACTCCGCAAAGAGAATAAACTATAACTAACTAACTAACTAACTAGAAAAATTATCGATAAAACTATTAATAAAACATTAAATAACAAAATATGGGACTTAATATTTAAAGTTCCCATTAGTTGAGTCCTGTGATATGTTGTTGACGATAAGCCAGAGTCAAATGGTGAATTACAAGAAAAAACAGTTTTACACTTTAATCTGTATTAATAGCTAGCATTTAATGTGATTCTGTAGTTATTACATGCATCAAATGGTGTTAGGTTTCTTCAATACAAATGGTAGTTTCCACTTTAGTTTATTCTATACATTGAAAAGTCTCACGATATCTAATAATGTATATACTTGAAGAAAACTTACTCTTGTAGTTGTAATTATGCAGTAGTTATATTCTTCTACGTAATTATATATGTTTTAATGGTACTTCTATGGTTGCAACGCAACTAGTATTACAGAACATAAGGAAAACATATAGTATTCAATGAAATACTTGGACAAATGGCAAAAATATTAAATAAAGAAATGCACTTACATTCTCGCAGGATTAATCTGGAAATATGTTTAAGGTAAAAGAAATAATAAATACTTTATTTCAAATTAAAGTTGTAAATAAGATACAATGTTTCAATATATAACATTATGATACTTTTTTCTTTATTTTCAGCGTTTGTCTAGACATCGATGGGAAAATTACAGCAATAAATTTATGGAGTCAACAAATTGAACAGATACAGTCAAGAAATTATCCATACAAGAAAATCATTGAATTACATACGTTTGTCTTGTAATTTATAGACCCTAAAAAGAATGTAATGCCATCATACTTTATAAATCATAATATATCAGAACAGTGACTAATCAATGGTTTACAGAAGCAGTTGAAGGTTCTACAAAATATCAATGCAAAGCAAGCAATAAAATAAAGACAATTAGAACAAAACAACTAGAATAAAGCGTACAATAGACAAAATATTTGTGCTCAATGAAGAAACAATTGTGGTATATCGAACAGATTATTGCGACAAATGTACTACCCTCAGTCAAATAAGATTTTTACTTTGTAAACAGATTTATTTTATTTTCTGTACGCGAATGCTTTTATATCTATTAGTTAAACTGAATTTAAATGTTTTTTAATGTCTCAGAAGAAATAAATCTTAAATACTATGTTTTTATTAATGCGTTACACAAAAATTGTACACTGCCCAGTGAATAAATACATTTATTACAAAGAATGATGAAATTGTATAGACATAGTTGTAACTTTTATAGAAATAGGAGAATTTGATAATATCGAATAAACTGTCAAATTATTAACAAATTTCATATTACTAAGTATAGCGGGTTACTGTCCTGATAACTGCCCTTCTATATATAATCAATTGTATCTCTAAGAAATAGTAACTTTTTTTCAAAATTTCAAAGATTCTTAAGAAATCTAAGTCAAGAAATTACAAATCTAAATAATCATATCAAAGGAAAATTTGGTGTTCTGAAATCTGCCCCCTGACATACATATATATGTAAGCTTACTTTAATCTACAATACAATTCAATGAATACAATTTCTTTTAATCTAAACTCTTTTTAATTATTCTACTTTCATTTCAGGTTCAAGAGTTGCATACTATGAAACTACGATATATCCAGCTGTTCGGTTGAAGCAGAATATTTAACAGTAATATAATATAAGTGGTAGCTTTAGTTAATAAAAATTAATGGTTATTGTATATACAAATTGTTTGTTACAAATGGTAATATATGGTTCATATAAAAGCAATTTTTCTTTAGATTTACCTAAAATCTTACCCGTTGAATAGTTTTATGTATTCATATTACATATAATAATATTTATAATACCACATATTGTATAATATAAGTTAGCATTTAAGAATTTGTTTAATAAATATATTACTAGAAAAATTCATTTGTTACCAATATTGTATGTTCCACTTTGGATTTAGCAACTAAATAGTAAAGGAAAACATAATGTCTAGAATTATGAAGTACGTATGTAAGCGAGCAGTTTATCTATATTATAATAAACTTGGAAAACGTAATATTTCTCAACTCACCACCAACTCACTCCAATGCACATATCAACCAAGTTGTCTGTCCATAATCTTCACGTGTTATAAATCACTGCTCGACATTGATTAAACTACCTGTAAAATATAAGCTAAAAACACCACAAAGTATCATGTTCATTCTTGTTAAATCTATCGTTTTATAGGCAAAAGATACTTATCTCAATTTCTTCTTGGATCCTCAGCTTCCTGCCAATCCAAATATGGTTAAATGCACAGAAGAGAGCATGCAAACAGTTCGATTTGATTTAACATTGCTGTATTTTCATGTCATATGTGTGATTCAATTTTGTCAACCCACAACAGTTAATATCTATAGTATAAAACACATTACTTATACATGATCAACAATTAACATACCAATCAATTTTCACAATTTCCATAAAACAGTTTTGTCTGTCTATTATATAACCATCAAATATTCTAGATCACTGCTCGACATTGAATAAACTACCTGTAAAAGATAAATTAATGAAACCACAAAGTATCAGGTTCATCCATATTAAATCTATTGTTTTATAGACAAAAAATTCTTACATACCTGAATTTCTACTTCCTGTCAACTCAAATAAGGTTAAGCACACAGAATCAACAACAAACTCCTGCGAGAAATTTCATCGAACAGTCTTACATACTTATCGTTACAGGTCCTTGCATAAATGTCATATACTTATTTCATGAATTTACGAAATATCGAACACCACTTGAATATAATTTGCAAATCTAATAATGTAGAACCACTTTAATAAATTTTCGACAAAACATCTTAGAATTTACATATTCTGCAGGGATAATTAATCTCAACACGTTCGTCAGGCTCTTTATGAGAATCGTCACTAACAGTAAATTATAAAAGATTGAAATATATCAGACGGAACACGCACGGCATTAAAAGATTAAGGTATGAGATGGGAAACACGCGCGAGTAGGTAGCTTTGTGTTCAATTAATAGTGTGCGCAATCATTACTGTGTCCAAATTTGCTCTGTGATACTCTGCTTGTGCGCAATCCACTTGTGTCCAATTCTACTTGTGCGCAATTCGACCTGTGTGAAATTCTTCCTGTGCGCAATGTACCGCTTCCAAAACATCGGTGTCCAATGCGACCGTGCGCAATCCTACTGTACGCAATCGATGGCCTCCCATTATTACCTACGCTCGGTAAGGTAGGATGCAATTATTAAAAAGAAGAAGAACATTATTTATTCGACGTTTGGTAAGTATTATTATCGTTATCAGAGATCGGTAAGAAAGAAAAACGCAAATGGTATATGTAACGAAATAAGCGCGCATGCTGTAAGGGTGGGGGAAACCATGCTCGTCGTCTTCGCGGGAGGTAAGCGCGCACGCCGTAAGGGAGGGGAACCGTCCTCTTTGCGCGCAGAAGTGGGGGCGTCATTGCGGGCCCCGCGGGTTCCCTCTCTCTCGCGCCCGAGTATTTTCTTCCTCGCATTCATGCCCCGTGCAACATAAAGTATTACATTACAATCTTTGACGTAGCCATCGGTAGGAACGTTTCGCGACGATGGCCTCGAGCAGAAGATCCAAAAATGCAAAGTTTGCAAATTACAATCCGGAAGCAAATCTTCTATTTTCGCGATACAATTGCTCGAGAACTAGATATTAAAGAAACGGAAGAGGTGACATCATTCGTTGGCGATAAGAATATTGGAGAACGTGCGAAGGAAATATTACACCGGATGAGAATATGATATGGGAGGAAATGAGCTAGAAAGACAGACACATATATCCAAACTATTTTTTTTATTGATAACTGTATTCTAACATTACATCTAAACCTAATGCTAACAATTCAGAGTCAATCAATGAATGACGCTCAAAATTCTCATGTTCAACAATCGCCGTTGCATAATCCTTAATTTCAGCGTCTTGTATTATTTCTATACACTTGTTGTACTTAGATTCTACCAGGTACAAGTTTCCAGACAGCCAACTGTACATGTGATCGATACAACATTCGAAAGCGAACAACTATTGTACGGTTTTCACTCATGAACATAGAGATGACACAATTAGAGAGTTTTGCGAGTTTTACGTCGTAAAGTTGTCGGAGTTTAACTGTTACATTATTAATGCTTATCGGCTCGCTCGAGATTCCTGCTGTATCAGCAAAAATCTACAGAATGTTATGCGCCTTTGGTAGGAGACCTTTCCACGTATCCATAGAAAATTTAATTTCGTTTCAACGAGAGTCTCCTATAGCCAATTCTACGTCGAAGAACCACCGATTCGAACCCCGATCTCGAGATCTGAATCGATACTACTGCAAGTATCTTATTTCAAGGTGCCCGCGGCGTATTGCTTCCTTAAAATTTATTTCTAAATTCCAGCTGCGTATTGCTTTCTTAAATTTTCGTTCAAAGTGCCAGCAGCGTATTGCCTTTCGAAAGTTTATTTCAATGAGCCAGCGGCGTATTGCATACTTAAATTTTCTTTCAAATTGCCAGCGGTATACTGCTTGTCTAAAGTTTATTTCAAGGTGACAGCGGCGTATTGCATCCTTAAATTTTGTTTCAAAGTACCAGCGACGTATTGCCTTTCTAAAGTTTATTTCATAGAGCCAGCGACGTATTGCATACTTAAATTTCAGTTCAAAGTGCCAGAGGCGTAATGTTTTCTTAAACTTTATTTTAAAGTGCCAACGGCGTATTGCCTTTCTAATGTTTATTTCAAGGTGCCAGCGGCGTTTTGCATACTTAAATTTACTTTCATAGTACCAGCGTCGTATTGCTACCGTAAATATTATTTCAAAATGCCAGCGGCGAATTGCTTTCTTCAATTTCATTTCACAGTGCCAACGTCGTATTGCTATTACAAAAATTATTTCAAAGTTCTCGCGGCGTATTGCTAGTCTAAAGTTTATATCAACGTGCCAGCGGCGTATTGCTTTCTTAAATTTTATTTCAAAATGCCAGCGGCGTAATGTTTTCTAAAATTTCATTTCACAGTGCCAGCCGCGTAATGTTTTCTTAAATTTCATTTCACAGTGCCAGCGGCGTATTGTTTTCTTAAATTTCATTTCATAGTGCAAGGGGTGTAATGCTTTCTCAATTTTATTTTAAAACGTTAGCGACGAATTGATTTCTTAAATTTTATTTCAAAATGCGAGCGGCGTAATGTTTTCTAAAATTTCATTTCACAGTGCCAGCGGCGTAATGCTTTCTTTAATTATATTTCAAATTGCTAGCGGCGTATTGCTTGTCTAAAGTTTATATCAAGATGCCAGCGGCGTGATGCTTCCTTTAACTTTATTTCAAAATGCCAGCGGCGTATTGCTTTCTTAAATATCATTTCACAGTGCCAGCGCCGTATTGCTTTCTTAAATATCATTTCACAGTGCCAGCGGCGTAATTTATTCCATATCAAACTGCCAGCGGCGTAATGCTATCTTTACATTTATTTCAAAATGCCAGCGGCGAAATGCTTTCTTAAATTTTATTTCATAGTGCAAGGGGCAAAATGCTTTCTTTAATTTTATTTAAAAACGTTTTCGACCAATTGCTTTCTTCAATTTCATTTCACAGTGCCAGCGGCGTAATGCTTTCTTTACTTTTATTTCAAAATGCCACCGGCGTGATGCTTTCTTTAATTATATATCAAATTCCCAGCGACGTATTGCTCTCTTAAATTTCATTTCATAGTGCCAGCGGCGTAATGTATCCTTAAGTTTTAATTCAAAATGCCAGCGACCAATTTCTTTCTTAAATTTCATTTCGAAGTGCCAGCGTCGTAATGCTCCCTTTAATTTTTTTTCAAAATGCTAGCGGCGTAATTTTTTCTTACATTTTATTTCAAATTGCCAGCGGCGTATTGTTTTCTTAAATTTTATTCAACAGTGCCAGCGCCGTGATGTTTTTTTTATTTATTTTTTAAAATGCCAGCGGCGTATTGCTTTCTTAAATTTTATTTCAAAATGCCAGCGGCGTAATGTTTTCTAAAATTTCATTTCACAGTGCCAGCGGCGTAATGCTTTCTTAAATTTCATTTCACAGTGCCAGGAGCGTAATGCTTTCTTTAATTATATTTCAAATTGCCAGCGGCGTATTGCTTGTCTAAAGTTTATATCAAGGTGCCAGTGGCGTGATGCTTCCTTTAATTTTATTTTAAAATGCCAGCGTCGTATTGCTTTTCTAAAATTCGTTTCACAGTGCCATCGGCGTATTGCTATTATAAATATTATTTCAAAGTTCCCGCGACGTATTGCGAGTCTAAAGTTTATATCAAGGTGTCAGCGGCATAATGCTTTCTTAAATTTTATTTCAAAATGCCAGCCGCGTAATGTTTTCCTAAATTTTATTTCACAGTGCCAGCGGCGTAATGCTTTCTTAATTTTATTTCCAAATGCCAGCGCCGTATTGCTTTTCTAAATTTTGATTCTCAGTGCCATCGGCGTAATGCTTTTTTCAATTTTATTTTTAAAGTGCCAGCGGCGTATTGTTTTCTTAAATTTCATTTTATAGTGCAAGGGGCGTAATGCTTTCTCAATTTTATTTTAAAACGTTGGCGAAGAATTGAATTCTTAAATTTTAGTTTACAGTGCCAGTGGCGTAATCCTTTTTTAAATTTTATTTCAATGTGCCAGCGGCGTAATGCTTTCTTTAATTATATTTCAAATTTCCAGCGGAGTAATGCTTTCTTTACTTTTATTTCAAAATGCCAGGTACGTATTGCTTTTTTAAATTTCGTTTCTCAGTGCCATCGGCGTAATGCTTATTTCAATTTTATTTTCAAAGTGCCAGCGGCGTATTGCTTTCTTAAATTTCATTTCACAGTGCCAG